AATCAATCAATCAATCAATCAATCAATCAATCAATCAATCAATCAATCAATCAATCAATCAATCAATCAATCAATCAACCAACCAATCAATCAATCAACCAACCAATCAATCAATCAATCAATCAATCAATCAATCAATCAATCAATCAATCAATCAATCAATCAATCAATCAATCAATCAATCAATCAATCAATCAATCAATCAATCAATCAACCAACCAATCAATCAATCAATCAATCAATCAATCAATTAGCTTAAAAAACGCTATTTCCGCGATGTTCAACAGCGCTCCTCAATGAATTTCGAAAACAGATGGGTCTTGAGATCCGCTCTGAACTTCGCAAGTGATGGAGAAGTAGTCAGAGAAGTAGGTAGAGAGTTCCAGAGAAAAGGACCAGAAAAAGCAAAAGCAGATTTGGCAAAAGAGTGTTTAACACGAGTTAAGAAAAAGCGAGAAGAAGAAGACGATCGTAAACCGGGGCGTTCAGGTTCAATTAATATATCTGATAAGTACTTAGGAAATAATTTAGATTGAGACTTATACATGAACGTGCAAATTTTAAAAATTATTCTATATTTTATAAGTAGCCAGTGCAAGAGAACAAGATATGGAGATATATGAGAAAAGAAAGGGGCACGAGCAACTAGACGAGCAGCAGAGTTAAAAGCTTTACTTAAAGGATAGAGTGTAGAGTCAGGAAGACCATAGTAGAGCGAGTTACAATAATCAATCCTAGATAAGACTAACGAAGTAACAAGAAGGAGAAGAGTAGGATCATCAAAAAAAGGCAAAAGTTTTTTTATTCTACGTAGATGAAAGTAGGATAAACACTATTAATCTGAGAAGAGAGAGACATAGTAGAATCAAAGATAAAACCTAGACTGCGAAACTTATGAGAGACATCAAGAGTTTTAGAATCATTTAAGATAATAGGAGGAATAGTAATAGAGTGTTTAGATTTATTAAAACAAATTAATTCAAACTTAGATAAATTATGAAGAACACTATTGAGATTAGAATGAGGAAAAGAAGCATAAATGTAAGAATCATCAGCATATAGTTGACTAGAGAAAGAAAAGTTATTAATAATACGAGGTAGTTCAGAAGTATAGAGTATAAATAGAAGAGGGCCAAGGAAAGAACCCTGAGGTACCCCGAAAGTAAGAGTAAAGGAGTTAGAAGTAGAATAATTGAGAACAACAGAAGAAAAACGATTACAGAGATAAGAAGAGAACCAAGATAGACAAGAATCAGTAATATTAAAAGAAAGATGCAGCAGTCTCAAGAGAATAGTATGGTCAACAGTATCAAAAGCCGAGGAAAAGTCAAGAGAAAGAAGAAGAGTAAGATTACTATTGTCACTAGAGAGAGGGATGTCATTGTGTATTTTAAGTAAAGTGTCAGTACTGTGAGCAGGTCTGAAACCAGATTGAGATACAGGTAGCAAGGAGTTAAAGTCTAAATAGGATGACAGTTGATTAAAAACTACTTATGCTGAAGTGACTGAAGACAAATACAATTGCCATTGCAAGACTTGATTGCCTAGACTGAATACAAATACAATTGCCATTTAAAGTTATTTATAATTTTTCTTCTTCTTCTTGTCATTATAATTATTATTGCTTTGCTTGTGATGTTTTTGTTATTATTTGTTATTCTTTTGGTAATGGGAGCAAGTGAGACCATGTTCAGTTGTATCCCGTAGAAATAGAGAGCGGGAGAATGTGAAATATCATATGATGTGAGATTTATGCAGTATGCACCACTCAATAACTGTTTCGCCTTGAAGTTTGCATAATTAACATATGTAAATTAACATAAAACACAATATAAAGTTTGATGAAACTCAGTTTTAAATATTCAAAAAATATTTTAAACTTCAACCTACTCTAGCTATAGTCTGAAATTTTTTTATCGTGAATCACAAATTTGTATTTGCCCAGGCTCAAAGCCAAATTCTTGATGCTATTTTTAAATTAATAAGGTTTTTATTCTGGTTTCAATTACATGATAAAAATAAGTTAATATCAATACGAATGGAACGCGGGATTGGTGGTTTTCACGTGAGTTCATATACGCGCTGTGTCTCTGTGTGTTTGTCGTTGAAACCTGTGAAGCAAGTGTACAAGAGAGATTGACCTTTCATTAACCTTTTTAACTATCTTAAGTCTTCACATATCTATAGGGTTATGCTTGTTTTAAACGTTTGACTTCTTATATTTGTGACATTTTTTGAAGCTCGTGTAAATGTTTGAGTGTAAAAAAATGTTTTAACCGTGAAACAAATTTACTGTTTAAATGCTATTATTTTAACATTTCTTAACCTGCAAAAATTGCAAAAAATATTTTGTTTCGTGTTAAATGATTTTATTTTATAAATTCTTTTCATATCTTAAGTTTAAGTACATCAAATAAACATACACAGCAACGCCTTCCTTCGACTTTATTTTTCTAAATTTTTTTATGATATCCCGTGAGTTTTCAGCAGACAGTATACGAACCATTTCATCGCGTGGTAGCAGCGTAAGACATGGCTCTTCTACTGACTGAGCTACCGCTGTCGTTAAAAACTTTTAAATCGATTGAACTTTTTACTTTTACGCGTATACCTTCACTTACGTTAAAAATGTTTCGATGTTTCTGGTTCTTGAGCTAAGCTAACAGTTTAACTTCAAATGCCTAAATATTACGAAGAAGATCAGGTTAGCAATAAAAAGAGGCCGTGTGACGGTTTGCGAGAAGATTTGAAAACATGCCTGATGAATACTGAATGTGTTAAATCTGTAAGTTAAGTTAGTTAGTTTAGTAATTTAGTTAGTTTTTACTAGTTAATTAAATAGTTTTGTTAGTCTTCTAAGTTTTTAGTCTCTTAGTTTTAAAAAAGTTATCTGTTAATTAGAGTAGCTAGGACTTGGTTATTTATTAAATTATTTATACTATTTTATTTTTAAATTATTTATACCAAAAATCTGATCCATCATTCATTTTAAAATTGTATTTGAGATTTGAATAAATTACTACTAGTACTAACTACTTTTAACTGAGGTTTAGTTAGTAATAGTAAGTTATTCAAATCTCAATTACATTTACTAAAAAAAATGTTTATTCTTTATTTTATTTACAAATTCCCCAACTTGTTTTCTTTACAATTACATTTACTACACATACAATGAAATTAAACTACTAAAGGGCCAAAAAACTGCGCGAGAATGCCTGATGACTGAACCGACACCCGAGTGCCATGCCTTGAGGATGACACTTTTTGAATGCAAACGATCATTAGTAACTCTTTCAAGTTTTTTTTCATCAACCAATAATTAATTAATTAATTAATCGTTACTTTTTAACATTATGTTATTTATCTGTAATAGCATTATTATTATTGCTAGTACATTAGAGAGTATCAGTTTATTTTATATATAACTACCTGATTATCATTAATAATTATTATTTAATATTTTACCATTAAACTAAAGCCTACTGATTAATACAACCTACTGTTAATGATATTGTGAAGAAATGTTAATTTAAATTCCTATTTCAGATTTGAAAATTTATAAAGGATTTTGAAAAAATTTAATTTTAACATTTGATTAACTTTAAATATTAATTTGTTCTTTAATTGCATTTATTTAAATTCAGCTTGATATGAGAACGAGGTTCAGAGGAAAGAAGGGGTATTGAATAACTTCGCCACAACAGACACAACCAGATCTAACATTAATTAACATCATTATATGTGTTTATTAAGAAGAAAAAATTTTTATGTATAGCCATATTAATTACTAAAAAATGACAAATTGATTGAATGAATGCATTAAATTTTAAATAAATTGAGAACACGCTAACAAAATAATCTGAACATTAAGTTATATGCAATGCAAAATGTTGTTGACTACACAAATTGCCTAAAATTCTGTTACTCCATAATAAGGTGTGTGTGCTGTGTGCTAAAAATTCGTTTCTGTAAAATCTAAATAAGTGTCTTTGAGAGCAATTTTATCCATTCTTTCACAGTGAAAATTTAGTAGATTTGGTGGGAAAAAAAAGTTTAATAACATTTAAAATCAAAAAAGATCACTTTAGTTGACAATAACTGAAATTTCATTAGCTAATTTTAGTTAAATTTATAAGAAAACAGCGTACAAGTGAATGGAATTTTATTACAGATACAATTAATGCAACTATGTGTGAGAGAATACTGTTATCTTATCAGTTTCTATCTGCTTCATTATCAGGTGCAAACTCGCGTGCGCGTTATTTAGGTTGATGGTGTGGGTTGTAAGGAGTGTTGTGCTGCATGAAAGCCTGCTGCTGTTGGAAATTTGAACGCTGTTGTTGTTGGCTGATGTTGTTTTGTTGTTGGCTGCTTGAACTGGAAGATGCAATATTCAAAGAATTATGAGTGAGCGGTTTTACTGGCTGGTTATCAGTGACTGACGATGACGACACTGATGATGATGGTGGAGTTTGCAGTTTGTGATCTGATTTGCTGTACGGATTTTGTTGGCTCCTGTTTGATATGCTGTCAGATATTAACTGGACCTCTACTGAGTGAGATTTTGAAAGTTGTTTGCCTACGTGTTGCATGTGCTTGCTGTGCCGTTGTTGTTGCATAACTTTATCAACCACTTCTAAATTTTCAATTGTTTGTTGATGTTGTTTGATGTGTTGTTGTTGTTGTCGCTGCTGAGCACTCTGCGATAGAAACTGTTGTTGGTGTTGTTGCATGAGTTTGTAGTTTGGTGTATCATCTGGCTTGTTGGGATGATCATTTCTTTCCAGTGTTGTTGTAGCTACTCTCCTAGGCGCTGTAGTTGTTGTGGTTGTTGCGGAGAGAGGTGTTGTTGTTGATGTCATTGTCAGCGATGATGATTGTCTAATTGTTGCTCTTTCTTGTTTCGGAGATTTGCTTGTGATTTGCTGTTGCCTCTCTTGCTGTTGCTGCTGGTATTGTTGGTACTTCTGTTGGAAGATGATTTGCTGCTGTTGAGATGTGAATCCTGTTGGATCGTTTTGTGAGTATGTGGGAGCATTCCAACTCGAATTTGGTTTGTAGTTGCTTGGGAATTGTTGTTGATGTTGTCTGTTATCTCCACCAACATCTGCATTTTTTTTATTGAATGGTTGTTGCTGCCTGGATGGCAATGATTTAATTTCCTGTTGGACGTGTGAAAAATGTTGGATGTTTTGTAGTTGTTGTTGTTGCTGAAATTGTTGCTGCTGCGGTTTTTGTTGTTGTTTCAGCTGTGAAGTTGAAATTTTTGATGGGATCCACTTGGATGCTGATGTTGATGATGAAGACGATGATGGTGGAGCGTGGTCAGATTGCTGTTGAGGCTGAGTTGATTGCATAGGTTTGTCATGATCAATTAAATTCATCTGGGGTGGGGTCTGTTTATTTTTTGATGTTTCAGCTTGTTTAATGTGAAATTTTTTACTGGCACTGCTGATGTCATCAATTGCAACTACACTATCTTTATATTGTTGTTGTTGTTGTTGATGATGCTGTCTTTGTTGATCCAGGTTGCTGTCTAACACCATTTCTGAAGTTTTCTGTTGAGTTGCCGTGCAAGATTTTGAATATTCTAAAGAAGTGCTTATGTTGTGGAAGAGGTTGTTGTTCATTTGCATAGAAGTTGTTGTCGTCGTCGTGTTGGTCGTAGGCGATGATGTTGTCGTTTTTGTTGACAGTGATGTTAAATTTGATGCAAAATAATCTAATTTGTAGCTACTACCATCGTCTGACGTCCTCACGTTGTCTTTGAAAATGGCGTAAGTCTCGTTTGGTGTCGGCGTTAGATGGACCGCTTTGTGCTGTAGTTGGTGGTTTTGTTGAGATGATTGGTGTTGTTTTTGAAGTTGTGGTCGATGTTGTTGTTGTGCTGGCTGAGATTGTTGTTTAGGCTGCTGCTGATCTGGCTTTGTAGTTATAGAATATAATGCTTGCTCTTTTGAGGTTGCAACATTGTTATTGTTGTTGTGTATCTTAGTAGTTGTCTGTTGATTTGAAAGCACACCCACGATGCCAGCGTCATCATTGCTTTCGTCATCCAAGTTGATCACAATTGGAACATTCTTGGCTGGTATCGATGCCATTGTTGGAGTGGTGGTTATTGATGCTGTTATTGATGTCGGTGTTGATGTTATTGATGCCATTGTGGTTTCCATTGGCTGATGTTTGATGGCTGTGGACTCGTTTGAAGTTGTGGCTGATACATTCAACGTCTTCTTGGCCTTGCTCCTTTTTTAATATATTTTCAAATTTAGTCATCATTAATTATAAATTCAAATCAATTGTAACAAAATGAAATTAAATGAATAAAACAGACTACTACAAAGAGTATTAACGACAGAATATTTGAACAGAAAACAAATTAACTCACGAATCTGCACTTGTCAATCTTTGGTGCACAACTTTGCTTTCTTTGTATAAAATCCTGAAAAATAAAATAAAATCGTTTAAACTGCACCAAACATGTCGCTAAATGATTGAATGGCATAAAAAAAAATAACATGCAAAGACATTTAAATGAACCCCCTGCAGACCTACCTCGTTTGCATCCAGCCAGGTGGCCAAAGATTCTTGACCTCGGCGTCCAGGAATTGCCTGATGTGCTCGTCAGCAGTCTGAGATTTGATGCGCGACATGTTGTAATGGACTAGCCTCAACTGGACGACGTCACATAATAACTCCCTGTTTGGTTTTTTTTTCGTGTTTGGTTATCAATTTATTAATCATCATTCATTGTTGTAGTAATAATTTATGTGGCTATCAATAAAATGAGGACCCCCGTCTGTTGCCGATAACATTAACTGAGTCACAGGTTTTATTGTATATAGAAAATTATAAATCCCGTAAAAATTGAACCAAAAGCGAATTTCTGCCCCCAATATTCATGGGAGGATCGAAGCACCTGATTATCAATTACCTAATCTCACTGGTCCATGGAAATTTTTTTCTTGGCGCCATTATCCTCTTCAGTTTATCACTATCACTTCTGTTCAGAGCATCATTCTCATTATTGTTGTTATCGTCATCGTCGCCACTCGTCATGTGATGAGCGTCATCTCTGGCAGACGTCATCATTATTATCTCCTTCTGTTCTAACTTTAGCTTCTGGTTTACATCCAGGAGTTCTTTGTACTTGTTCAGCAGTGCTGGCATCACAATGGATATTGCTGTGTGCATGTTTCAATATATTTCTATGTGATAGTGTTTGTATGTGTGTATATACATGTGTGTGTGTTTGTGTTTGATGTGTGCACGAGCCTGCATGAGACGTTTGTATATATGTGCGTGCGTATGTGTCGGTCTCATTACGTGCATGTTGGCATGTGATATCATTACTATTATAATAATGTTGTAATGGTGTTTTATATTATAATGCTAACAAATAATAGTATTAATCTGGTTATTTATTCAAGGAATCGCAGCATACAAACCCTCAGATAGCCGGCTCTTGGCTTCAGTAAGCTTTTCGTTGTTAATGCTAATCCTATACTTCTTGATCTTCTTGAAGAGGGCTTCTTTTGAGATACCGAACTTCTGCGAGATCCCCACGAATATTTCGGTTCGTTCTTCGATCGACCTCGTCTGACATAAGCTGTAAAGTCTGTGGAGGAAGATGATGGCGAATAGATGATGATGGGAGATGGGACGAGCGGAGAACTGAAAATGATAGCGGCAGGAGATGAACTTGGCAACAAACCTTGAAAGCATTTCCAAAAGTGGTGCAGTGAGGCTGATGAGGTTGACGTTGTGGCCGCTGTTGTTACTAGCAGCTGCTGATGTCGTAGTTTTGTTTGCCTGGTTGTTTACAAGTTGAGAGGATGGTGATGCAGCCGTTGAAGTTGCTGTCGTTACTGCAGACTTTGCTTCTTTCAGCGTCGTCACCTCCTTCAAACATAAAAAGTGACAATAAACAAACTGAAATACAGATGAGACCATTTACTATTACTACTTATTAGATCAAACAATCCAGAGAAATAGATGCCAAATAAATTTTTAAAAACAAAGCAGAGAACCAAACACAGCAGACCGACCGACCTTATCTATCTCGTGGAGAAGTTCTGCAATGAGCTTCTTAAGATTCCCACCCCCACCCCCACCCCCACAGAGATCGTTATCAGCGCCACCATTGTCACCATGATCATCATCATCATCGCCAGCACAATTATTGTTAATATTATTATAACCATAATTATTATTATTATTATTGATTATGATGTTTGAGTCTTTTTCATTAAATGATTCCCTCCTATGTTTACCATTGACAGAAATGCATGGCTTCTTACTGCAACGTGCTCCCTCAGTTATTTTTCTTCTGCGAAAATTAAATTGAATTAAAATTTATAAAATAAATTACTTGAAATATTATATATATATATATATATATATATAATATATATATATATAATATATATATATATATAGTATTGTATGAATTCTACCGAATTGTTGGCATTAGTCATTTTAAGGTTTGTCTTTTCAATTTTCCTTACTAGAATTTTCTGGAAATTGTCCAATATACATCAGGGCCAAACCTAGACTTTTAGCCACACACACACGCACACACACACACACACACACACACACACACACACACACACACACAAGTTAGTATCTGCAAAATATATCTCACATATTGACATGTATCATATATTTATAAAAAATATAATGTATGAAGAGAGAGAGAAAGAGAGAGAGAGAGAAAATGATTTTTCATTTTCATTCTTTACCAACTTTTTATTCATTCTTTTCTTCTTTTCTTTCCCTCCATCATTATCATTATTCATATCATCATCATTGACATTTTTGTTGTTGTTGTCATTATTAAACGAGTTATTTCTTTCAACTGGCTCGTCATTGTCCTGTTACAATTAATGAAGAATTCATCTTACATTATGTGCCTATATATGAGAATAATAAACAGTGAAAAACTGATAAAAACTGATAAAAACTTACAGATGAAAGCATCATTTTCTTTTTTTTTTTAGCAGGCATAACCAGCTCATCGTTATCATCATCATTATCACTCTTTTTCTTCTTTTCCTCCTTCTCTCCATCCTCATTTACGGCCTCATCATCATCACCATCATTGATATTATTCTCATCGTTATCATAACTATCCTCCTCATCATTATCATCGTCATCGTTATCATCGCCGTTATCACCATCGTCGTCGTCGTCGTGATCATCTCTGACGAAATCCAATTTGCCAGCGTTGATATAGAAGCCACCGTGTTTCGTATCCAGACTCCATGGCACGACTTCGTCGTACTGAATTTTAGGAAAAAGTTCACTTCTAATTTATAAACATTACTCTATTATTACAACATAAAAGGATATTGATTCATCATTATTGCTCTATAAAAGACATTTCAATAAAAAATATACCCAACATTAAACTTCTAAACAAGAGTTAATATTAAAAATTGTAAAAAAAAAGCAAATAATGAGCCTCATTATTCAATAAAATTAGAAAATAATTAAGAAATAAAAATAATTATACAAATAATTATACAAAAATTATGAAATGATAAAGAACCCACGGCTTCTGAATTGTCAACGAAGGAATCTTCTAGATAGCCCTCTCCCAAATCCACCATATCTCTGATATTTTTCTTCCTCTTCTTACTTTTCTTTGAACTACCACCCTGTTATTATTAATATAATAATAGTAATTAATATTTTATAAAATTGAAATTATTTTATTGCTAAATAATATTCACTCCAAATGATAATAATTGATATACTTAAGAAGTTTATAACATCCCATCATAGTAGCATTGCTGTTGTATCTTGTAATTTTGTAATAATTTAAGAAGATAAGGACAGTTGGCTCTCAACTTTTATATAACATCAAAAATTTAGCAAAAATATAAACGTAATATAAGTAACAAAACGTTATAAATATAATATTATTCATATTTTCAATTAATATAACATAGATAGGTATAGCAGTGACAGTCCTACTTACATATTTTTCATTGAAACTTTGGGCAATCCTTTCCAGTTTTTCTTGTTCTTGTTCATCTTGAAGTGCAAATGGGTCCACTGCACTACTTGCACCATCACCCAAATTTTCCTTTGATTCCTTAATGAAAGAGAAAATATTATTACATACTATAAAATATCTTGGTTAATTTATCATCATCATCATTTCAACAGATTTGTAACACAAAACTTCAATGTGAAAAGGGAATGTTCAAATTGTTTGCTGAACTTCACTCATCTGTAAACAGTTTATAAATTTTAAAATACTACCCTCTGAAGTTGTGCATTAAATAACTCATAAGCTTGCACAAAACTGCTTCAAACTACTTATTCTTCATAAGCAATTCAAACAAGTTGCTTAAAATTCTTTTCAAATTTCATTTTTTTGCAGTTGTAACGAAACAAAAACGTCATCAAACGCGCTGTTAGAAAGGAATTTGTGGATTAAATTGCAAACATGTGTACGCACGGGGAGTTCATAAATCATTCATCATAGTGCCTCTTTTTAATAATTCCTATCAAGTTTATCTTACTTACTACGTGAAATACACTTTCTATGCACAGTTCTAACTTGTTATTATTTAAATTTTAACGGCGTTTGCCTTATCAAATGGTTTGAAAATACAAACAAATAAAAACGAATCTGTTTTAAAAATCATTAAAAAATTAATTAAAACGATCAGAATACACGAAAAATGAAATGAGCGATAATGGAGTGGTCAGTAGTATCAGCGCATACGCACACGAACGCGCACGTAGACTGCCTAATTCACGCATACCCTGCTAGTAAATTTCGATTAGGAGATCTTAACTGGACCCCACGTAAGCACATACATTCACTATTCATACATTTCTATGTGCAAATACCGCTATACAAAGCCCATACAATACAGGACACAAGCTCCGCCCAGGACATAGTCATTATAATGAAGCCTCAATGGAGTGCGTGCCAAAAGCAAAATGAAAGATGAAAATATTTGCCACAATCTTCCATGGGATGTAGAGAATTCAATTAAAATGTCAATCAACTAAAATTAATTGAACGCATGAATATGTTAATTAGGTTAATGAATAATTAATAAGAGCATTATGAGAGCAAATGCATCCGCAAAAAAATCTTCTAAAACATTTGCATGATTAAAAAATGCTTGCAACTCACAAACAAAACGAAACAAAATGGCCGCCGTGTACCGCTGTTTGTGCCGTTGTTTGTATTATTAAAAATTGTTAAAAAACAATAAAAAAATAATCAGAGGAAAATAATAAAACGTGAAAAGATGAACATGAAGCTAAAATGCAGCCTCAACTCTAGGATGTTATTGAGAAAATAAAATGAATGAACGAACGGACCTTATGTTTCCCCAACAACTCCACGTAAGAATGTTCCGGACAGAATGAGTCCGTAGGTTCGGAAAGATTTATCGTTAATCTCATCGACTTTACCACTTTTTCTAGCTTCTTTGAGTTGTCAAGAGGCCCGGACGAAAAAAGTTGGATTCGACGTGGCCCATTCACAGAACTCCTATCCATTTTCTCGCCAAACTGTTAAAAATCGGTGTTTTGAGAAATTATTAAATCGAAATACGGTAGAAACATGTCGCCATTTTGACATAAAATAAATGACTATGATAATATCTTGGTTTTTATTGAGTTTTCTAACTTATGCAGTGGTGGTTATGTTGATGTGTGCTTGTAAAACGGTCAAATTGTCGGACAAACGTGCTTTCTTACGTTCGAAATGTCGATATATTGTTAGCATATGTTTCAATTTTTTAAAATAAACATTTGTTCTTAAAATATTTCATTATTTCATGTGCAAAAAGTGTGTGTGTGTGCTGTCACGGTGTGGTTAGGTCATCATTTTGTATTCAATTTGTCAGCCCGCCATTGAGCATTATATGCAACAATCTATTTATATCTACGTTTTATTGTAATAATGCTATATTTTTATTTTAAAAAATGTTTACATCGTTAAATTAATTAATTTAAAATGTTTCACCTGCGAGAAATTACTGAAGTGCGATAGTATCTGTGATGAATTCTCTTCTTGGGCTGGCAAAACAGCCGATCGATTTCTTTAGTAAGCGAAAAAAATTTAACGTAAATATTTGTTAAAAATAACAAATAAACATCGGTTCAGAGAAAACTTTGACGAATTGTTCAAAACGAACGACTGGCCCACCAGACCAACTCTATTTATAAGCCGGCATTTCATAAAATCTTTGTTTGAATCTGTTTTATCTTTGTTAATAAAGTTGAATTTTCAAAAATGGCTTCCCACAATTTTGAAGTCGGCGATTTAGTTTGGTAATAGTTTTTATTTTTTAAATTGTTTTGCGATTTTTATTTAATTATTTCAACATGTTTGTAAAATACCGGATAGAAAAATTTGCAGTCGCCGATCTACTAATTGATCCGTATCGTTGAGTTGGTGTTGGGTTGGAGCTGATTAAATGCGCGGGTTCACATTGTAAAATTAATGAGTTGAAAAGATTGGATTCTTGCGTTTTTGAAGTTTCATATTTATAACAATTTAGACTAAAATAGGGATGTGATGTGATTAAAAGTTTATTTTTATGTTGCATTAGTGAATTAGTCTATGTCATTTCTAAGTGTTGACTGACAAATGATTGCTAGGGTGACATGATAGAGGTTTACAAATACACTTACTTAATGATTAAAATTAAACATTAATTAAAAGATTATTATTATTTAGCTATAAATTATATAAATAGATCTGCAATTGTAATTAAGGATGTGGGCTTAGAGTCTTTGACCTGACCACAGTTTTCCATTATGTTATGCTTTTTATAACCAATTATTGTTTTTTTTTATTAAAATTAAATTATTGAATTATTCACATTTGATTTTATTTGTTCATCATCAGGGCTAAGATGAAGGGTTTTCCCCCATGGCCTGGGAAGGTTTTTTAGATTTTATTCTAAATTTGTTAATTTTTATTTTTTCTCTAACCATAATTTTTGTTTTCTAATTGGTTTGATTTAATTTATTTATATTCAAGTTTCAACAAATTTAAAAATGAGGATTATCATTATTTGTGGTTATTGTTAAAAGAATTAATAATATAAATGTCAAAGGTTTCGAAAGCACCTGAGAACAAAAAAGTTAATGACAAGAAACCGAGATGTTACATCTTCTTTTTTGGATCAGAAAATTAGTGAGTGTAATTTTAAAGTTTTCATAATTTGGAATTTCATTTAAAGAAGCAGAAAATATAACAAAAGAATCATCAAATTTGGTAATAACAGTTAATTTTATTTGACACTGCCAGTGCCTTTGTGTCATATGACAATGTTTGGCCATATCTGGAGAAGAGAGATGAGTATGCCACTCTTCCCCGGCCATCACACAGCTTCCAGGAAGCAGTTGATGCCATCGATGACTACATCAGGAGTCAAGGTGGAGTTGTTCCCGAAGTAAGTAAGATGGTTGTTGAATAATTTAATGAAATGATTATTGAAAAGACATATCGATCAGTTAACTAAAAATTGGTTGATTGAATTTTAACTTGAATAATAATTAACTACTAATCACTGATTAAGATAAAAGTGAAACCTGAGTCGACGTCGCCTCCTGGCTCTTCCAAGAAAAAAGACGAGGATGACAAGGTTTCCATCTTTTTTAGTTTTAATCTACATTAAATTCATTATTTGATTAATTGATTGATTGGTTGGTTAGTTTGATCATTTGATTGTGTGGATGAAGTGGAGAATGCGAATCGTCACCCTTATCAGTGATCAACAACTCACTCGTACCGTTACAGGACTCATCATCGGCTCAGGGCAGGCGGACAGCCAGAAAGAGGCCGTTGTCATCATCATCCACTACAGCAGCATCGTCATCCACATCATCAACTCCTCAAAAGGTTAAAAGTAAACCGGAATCTAAAACTGAAAAGAACTCCTTGAAACAAACTGACAAAAACGATGATGTTGATGATAAAAATGATAATAATGAAGTGAGTGAGGTTAGCAAAAGAAATGATGAACAGGAAAATGATGGCTTGAAACCTACAAAAGTTATCAAATTGAGTGAAATCGACATCGAGGTTAGGAGTAAGAAGATATCAAGAAAGAAGAGAAGAGAGAACGATGATGAAGAGGATGACGATGAGGAGGAGGATGTTGATGATGAAAGTCATCTGATGAGCAGTGAGGGGAACATTAAAATTCCAGAAGAACAACAGCAGCGACCGAGTGACGAATTAAACGTCCAAGTTGAGGATTTTGAAAAAGAATCCTTATCTCTCTCTAAGGAAGTTACTGAAAAATCTGAAGAGAATGTTGATGGTGATGCTGAACATCAGGATGATAACAAAAAGGATGGTGATGGGGACGATGATAAAGAGCTTCATGAAGTTTCGGTAGTTGTTCTAGGTGCTGCTGATGTTGACGATGATGATGAGATGATGGAGGTTGTCGATGATACCAATCATGATAATTCAGTCGATAAACCGAACGACGGCAGTGATGTCCCTCATTCAAAAGACAACAAAAACATCAAAGATAACAAAGTGCCAAAAGCTAAAGAACAGACTGATGTTAAAAACAAAGACAGTAAAAAGGCTAAAGATGCAAAAACCAAAGAGCCGAAGAGTAAAGATGGCAGCGTCAAGAGCAAAGAATCCACCACTCCAAAGGTGAATAAAGATGAAAAAGATAAATCAAATAAAATTAAAAGTCCCACTGAGAAAGCTCCTAAACTTAAAGAAACTAAAGATACTAAAGAAACAAAAGATACTAAAGAAGCTAAAGACACTAAAGAAGCAAAAGACTCCAAAGATTCTAAAGGCAATAAAGATAAAGGGTCCAAAAAATCAGAAAAGGTTTGAGGTTTTTAGTTTTATGTTTTTGAATTTAGTAGGTAACTGTTGATGAGAGAATGACTATTTCAAACAGACCGAGCCAAGTTATAGGTACAAAGCTTAGAGGGACAATAAATATGATATTGGTGATAAATAGCAGCTATTATTCAATCAGTAATACAATTGTTAGGAATCAATCGATAACAAAATTAGACCACATTTATACAGCCAGCGAAGCCATCGACAGCATCAGCAACAACAGCTGCCGACAGCAAAAAGAAAGCAACATATCTACCAGATGTTGTTGGTTCTCAACCAGCAGCAACCAACAACAACGACAACACGTCATCGACAACAACCACCACCAACAACGTCAACAGCAAACAACTAACCATTGTTCCTACAAACAAAAAAATTGGATTTCTGGGCTGTGGTAGTGTTGGAGAGGGGTTGATTTCATGCCTACTTGCTAGTGGGCATAAGGTCACAGTGTGGAATAGAACCATGGCTAAGGTAGTAATTTGTTGTTATCCAGACACAAGATACAAATGCGCACATACACGCACACACATACATACATACATACACATACGCATATATACACATATTTACATACATACACAGTGCAAAGATGTATTGAAGAAAGGTGCCTCAAAGGGTAGTTCTCCATCAGATGTTGTCAAATCATGCGACGTCGTGTTTGCTTGTCTGGCCGATGCTAATGCTCTCAAAGATGTATGTTGGTGTCTGTCTGTGTGTTGGTGTTTGTGTTGTATGTTTTTTTTGTTTGTTTGTTTGTGTGTGTTTCATTATACTTCTCTAAACTTTTGTCTATGTCTGTAAAACATTTTGTGTTATTAATAATAACATTAATGATAACAACAGGTTGTATTTGGCAATAATGGAGCCCTGCAAAGCATGGAATATAACAAGGGATTTGTTAATTTATCAACTGTTGATATTGAAACTACTATGGATGTATCTGAGGTCTGTTTGTATGTGTTTGTTTGTGTGCATGCGCGTCTGTCTGCTCACCCAACGACAAAACTCTACTCCACCAACAACAACACCATCAACAGGCCATAACATCCAGCGGGGGTAGATTTCTCGAAGCTCCTCTCATTGGTTCAATAGAAAGTTCAAAGTCAGGTCACATGATTGTCCTTGCATCTGGCGACCAATCATTGTTTGACGATTGCCAATCGTGCTTCAAGTCTATCGCTAATAATGTCTTTAATTTAGGCTAGTTGAATGCTGTTGCAAGGAAATTATTATGTTACCCTACATTTAACTTCTGTTGTTACCCTACACATTAATAATATAAATTAACTTTTAATATTGTTATATTTTTACATTTCCAGCTGACATAACGACAGCGTCAAAAATGCAAATTGTCCTGAACAGTTTGTACGGGACGACCTTAGCAGGATTAGCTGAGAGTATGGCGCTCGCTTGCAAAGTTGGCTTGGACCCCTCTGAAGTTCTCGATGTTATCAGCCACACCACTGTCAGTTCAGCTTTGATTAGGGAGAAAGGAAAAGGTAACTAAGGATTCTTTGTTGCTTTTTTGAATGTGTATTAGTTTATGTTAAATATTCACGGGATGCATTTATTGAAACTTAATGAGTAACGTCTGAGTTAAAACATTCGAAGGAATACTCAATATAAGCGTGCATGCATACAAACCAACATAATCACACATGTAGCAATGGCAAAGAACAACTTGAAGGAGCCAAGTTTCAGACTGGACACATTACAGAAGGACATTAGACTGGCCATCAACATGAGTGAGGAGGTCGATCAACCACTTCATGTTGGCTCCTCTGTCAATGAGGTGTCTTTTCTGTCTGTTTATGTTGAATTTCAATGAGATTTCTCTTTCATGTGTGTTTGTTTATTGATTTATTCATTACTTATCTTATGTATAATAAATATTTACAAATAAAAATTTCACGAAACAGCTATTTAAGAGAGCCAAAGCCAAGGGGTATGGAGATGCTGATGTAGCTGCTGTCTACAGGGCTGCAGATCTTTGAACTGTCTGTCTCCGTCTGTCTGTGTGCGTGTCTGTCTGTGTGGTGTTGTCTGTATGCCTGTGTGTATGTTGTTTTTGTTGTCTCATAAACGTTAAAGAACAGAAGATTTCAAATGAATAACATTCTTTCAAATTAACTCTCTCACCATTCAATACAACGTCATTATACTTTCATCAAGTTCCTTTAATATGGGTGTGTTATTTCAACCTTTTATTAATTTTTATCAAACATTATTTTTATGGCTGGCTAAAAATGATTATGTAGTTCTATACAAATCAATTAGACTACTGTTGGTGTGTGTGTGTGTATGTGCGTGCGTGCGTGCGTGCGTGCACATAATGTTCCTGTCATCCATCCATCCATCCTTAACTAACAATCTATATACTACAATACATTGGCTTGGTCTAGATTTGTGTGTATGTGCTCGCGTGATTCATTTATTTGATGTTCTCTCTCTACGAAGAATTTTATTATTGTATGTATAGAAGAAGGATAGAAAACAATGTTCTGTTTGACGGTTGTTATAGAGCAGGCACGTATGTCCTTTCAACGTGTGATTTATTTTTATGAATATTTTGGTTTTGTTCGCTGGCATTCAACTCAATGAACATTACTTTCAGTTTGACGTTTTGTTGAAGGTTTTTAAATAATACATGAAGATGTTGTGTATGTATGGTGTTGTTTCCGTTGGGTTCATTCGACAATTGTGTGGATGAGTGTATAAGAACTTCCTTCAAACAACCACGGCGCGCTGGCGGTAGAAAATTGTTGACGAGAGAGAATAAGTTCTAGAAAATTGCTCTTCCTAATAGGTGAATATCACCGTGAAATTAATTTATTGCCTACGATTAAAAAGTCAACCAATCAATTAGCTTATAAAGCGCTATTTCCGCGATGTTCAACAGCGCTCCTCAATGAATTTTGAAAACAGATGGGTCTTGAGATCCGCTCTGAACTTCGCAAGTGATGGAGAAATAGTTAGAGAAGTAGGTAGAGAGTTCCAGAGAAAAGGACCAGAAAAAGCAAAAGCAGATTTGGCAAAAGAGTGTTTAACACGAGTTAAGAAAAAGCGAGAAGAAGAAGACGATCGTAGACCGGGGCGTTTAGGTTCAATTAATATATCTGATAAGTACTTAGGAAATAATTTAGATTGAGACTTATACATGAACGTGCAAATTTAAAAATTATTCTATATTTTATAGGTAGCCAGTGCAAGAGAACAAGATATGGAGATATATGAGAAAAGAAAGGGGCACGAGCAACTAGACGAGCAGCAGAGTTAAAAGCTTTACTTAAAGGATAGAGTATAGAGTCAGGAAGACCATAGTAGAGCGAGTTACAATAATTGAGTAATTGAGTGTTTAGATTTATTAAAACAAATTAATTCAAACTTAGAAGGATTAAGTTTAAGACACATAGAATCAGACCAAGCGATAATCGAAGAAAGACATAGAGATAAATTATGAAGAACACTATTGAGATTAGATGGAGGAAAAGAAGTATAAATATAAGAATCATCAGCATATAGTTGACTAGAGAAAGAAAAGTTATTAATAATACGAGGTAGTTCAGAAGTATAGAGTATAAATAGAAGAGGGCCAAGGATAGAACCCTGAGGTACCCCGAAAGTAAGAGTAGAGGAGTTAGAAGTAGAATTATTGAGAACAACAGAAGAAAAACGATTACAGAGATAAGAAGAGAACCAAGATAGACAAGAATCAGTAATATTATAAGAAAGATGCAGCAGTCTCAAGAGAATAGTATGGTCAACAGTATCAAAAGCTGAAGAAAAGTCAAGAGCAAGAAGAAGAGTAAGATTACTATTGTCACTAGAGAGAAGGATATCATTGTGTATTTTAAGTAAAGAAGTTTCAGTACTGTGAGCAGGTCTGAAACCAGATTGAGATACATGTAGCAAAGAGTTAAAGTCTAAATAGGATGAGAGTTGATTAAAAACTTTTTCTATTATTTTAGAGATGAAAGTAATATTAGTTACAGGTAATATAACTGACAATATAGTGCAATATTTAATATACCAAGTCTTGAAATATCAACAAAAGTTTACTAGAATTTTATAAAAATAAGAAATAAAATCTATTGAAAAGGAATTGTGTGTGTGTCTGTGTGTGTGCGCCTCTGTTTGCTAATTGTTATTAAGAGCCATCGCAACTTGTAAACAACGTATCCACTTGACGGCTTCGTTAGAATTGAAAAACTTGAAAATAAACTTCCTACTGTTGGATGTTTTATTATTATTACTATTGTTATTGTTGTGGGGGCGTTTTGTAACCAAAGAAACAATAGTCTTGTCGTCAACATCTTTATTAATCTTTGTTTTCTGATGGCCCTGGTGCTGCTGCTTCGTTTTTATCTTCACGATCTCGTTCAAATGAATAAACTGGTAAATTAGCATAATTTATATCATCAGTTAATTATAGTTATAAATAATTATAGTTAATTAATTAAAGTACAACTAAAGATAGAGATAATTACAAAGGAACGAGAGTAAAATAAATACAAGAATGAGAACGCATACATTATTCCTCTTAGTGTACCCGACGTCCGGGCCGCAAATCGTGAAGAGGGCACTCTGCCAGGGCTTCAGAAAGGTCAACCAATTATAATGGCTTCTCTTGACCTTCAACTGACCTAAATAATGTGATTGGTTAAAGGTTTATTTAGAATATTGTTCGTAGAAAGTCTTTATGTTGTTAGACGTTTTTGAAAGTTATAAAAACAGATGAAAATAAATTAAATCTGATGAACTGTTTGGATGAAATCATCGGCCAATCAAACAACCTGATAGAGTTAAGGACCGTCCATCTACTGGGATGCTCTCATTTGATTGGCTACCGCAAATAAAACACTCCCACTTCCAACTTTCGCCTTCTCTGGTTTGTTGAAAGAGTTTGAAGAACATTTTCTCCTCAAGTTCCAGTTGCAGAGTTTTCAAATCCTGTTTGTCGTATTTGCTTCAATCATTCATTCATTCATTCATTCATTCATTCATTCATTCATTCATTCATTCATTCATTCATTCATTCGATCATCCACCTTAACAGTGGGCAGTTTGATGAAAGATGACTTCGACATTGTCGTCAGCAGTTTCATCACTATCATAATTCTGCGGCGTTCTACACTGCCACCTCTCGCAATGTTCCTGTCTGCGTTACCCTTGAATACGCGATCATCATCACCATCATCATCATTATTATTTTTATTATTGTTATTATTTTCATCATCATCATCATTCGTTAGAATGCACTGTAGATAGAGAACGGTAAGCCACAGTACGGACAGGTTAGTGTTGAGTTTGAAGGTATGAAGACCTTTGAAGGCACAACCAGCTTTCTGATTGGCTGAGCAACACTCGAATTCTAACGTTAATTTATTATTATTATAATCATAATTCGTCTTATTTATTTTATTATTTTTATTGTTATTATTCCTGCAGATAATGTTATTATGTTTCTTTTTATCTAACGCTGCTGGCGTTGTCGGTATGGCTAAATATATATTATTATTTTTATTATTATTATTATCAATTTTATTATTATTATTATTATTGTTGTTGTTGTCGTTAATGTTATTATTGTTGATGTTTTTGACGATGTTGATGTTGATGCTATTAACCTTATCTAGCATGTCACGCATAGCACAAACATCTAAATCGTCATTATTGTCATGAGTATTATTAATGTTATTATCATTAATGTTATTATTGTTATTGTTGTTGTTGTAACTTGAAAAGTCATATCTCATATTAATTCCTTGTTCCTTCTTGCTACTGCCTTTAAAAATATTATCATTGGCGTTAAATATGAACAAACGTTTCATCGACGAAGATGACGATGATGACGTCACCGATGTTGGTGTTGATGACGTCACCGATGTTGATGACGCCATTGAGGTTGATGTTGCGGCTGCTAATGACGTCGTTGCTGATGTTGTTGTTGTTGTCATTGATGTTGTCAGGTAGCTTGGAATGGGTAAATTTTCGCCAGCCCAGGCTAAGAATGTGTATTCGTACGTGCTGTAGCGTTTAATGGACCTCAAATTCATTCGTTGTTGTTGTTGCTGTTGTTGTTTGCAGTTGTTCTTTATGAGGATGCTGTTGTTTTGGTTGACGTTTTTGTTGTAGTTATCTTCGTTAATGTTATTATTGTCAGTGTTGTCGTTAACGCTAGGACAATCTTTATAACTGTCTGTATCGTTGTTAGTGTTATTGTCAAAGTTGTTGCTGTTAATGATGTTATAGATGTTGATGTTATTGGTGTTGTTGTTGATGTTGTTGTTGACGTTGTTGTTGTTGTTGACGTTGTTGTTGATGCTGCTTACAAGCCCGGAATCATTTGTTATGTACTCACTTTTCTTATTGCCGCCGTTATCTTTGCGAGTATTATCATCCTCATTATTATTATCATTATTTTTGTTCTTTTGATTATTCTTATCACCATCATCATCATCGTCGTCGTCGTACAGGCAATATTTTATACGGTCATCATCATTT